AAAGAAGGAAAAGAGGAAGCTAGAAAATTTGGGCATAGATTCCTTTTGTCCAAAGTAGGGAGGTCTCAGTGACCCAAGCTAGAAGCTTGTCTATAAGGTCTATATTCTGACCTTACTTAGCTTTGGAGCTCTAACCACTCCTTTAGTCAGAAGAGATAGTAACCCCTCATTTACTTAAGCCTCTGCAATCTCACTTTTACCCCTTTTACTTCACCAAAAGTACACATATGAAAGACTCTAGGGACCTCCTAATTATCAGAATCAGAAGGAGTTTTCAGTCCTCACCTTAAGTGACCCTGGCAATGACTCCCTCCTTAGCTTCACTGATATACAATAAGTAGCTGCTTTTCCCAGTTTTCTCCTGCCACCTCATCTCTCCTTCAGCTTCCTTTTAAATGTTGGTGTTTGTCAGGATTTTGTCCTTAACCCACTTCTCCATACAACCTCCCTGCTTATGTCTACACACATAGGCACAAAGATTTCTACCTACACAAGCTAAAACTCTCAAATTCTAAAAGACCACAGCCTATTTCTTTCTCCAGCTTCATTGTTTTTCATTTATTGGTGTAACATTTGTTAATCCAGCCTCATTTTCCATAATTGTCAAATTACTGTGTTTTTGTGAGAGTGATTTGGTCTCTTCTTGTCTGTATCCAATTTCCCCTTACCTGATTCCCACCTCCACCCAAAAGTTTGCTCTTCAAGATTCAGCTTCAGTGCTACTTCTTCTGGTAAGCATTCTAGAAGCACAGCACAGCCTATTTTTGGTGCTCCCCTTTGTATTCACCCAGCATGCTCAAATTGGTGCTTCCAATGGTCTGTGTATTTCTGTTTATTCCACTACACTTGTCTTCTTAAAGGCACGAACTTAATCTGCACTTATAGTTCCCAGCACAGGGCTCAATAAATATGTTAAATTGATAAACAGTCTAAGAAATCCCTTGTAAACTATAGCATAGGGAATATAGTCAATAATATTGTAATAACTCTGTATGGTGTCAGGTGAATACTGACAATATTGGAAGGAACGCTTTGTGAAGCTTATGATTGTCTAACCACTGTATACCTGAAACTAATATAAAATAATATTGAATGTAAACTGTAATAAAAAATCGTCCAAAAAAGAGGGAGAAAATTCCCTGAACTGTGAACAGTTGAACACAAAGGAAGAGGAAGTTGTTGGTGTTATAAGCTAGGGCTGTTTAACACTTGAGTATTCAGATCCTTTCCCCTTTCCCTTCATCGAGGCAGCCAGGGCTGGTGGGGCTACAGGGGCATGAGGGTCAGAGCCAAAGAGATGGTTGGGCTAACAAGGCCACCAGGATGTCAGGGCTGGAAATTTATTACACACAGGAGAAATGACCAATTATTTGGAGGACAAAGGGAACCAGGTCTGTCACTACCTGAGAATGGAATTATAGGGTAGATGCTAGGATGAACCCTATGCTGGAGGTATGAATTTGAATTCATGATTTTTAATAGATGAACAGATATAAATATGTGTGGATCTATGCTGAGAAGGCCTTTAAACCATGATGCCCAGCCCCTTCCCAGTGGCAATGATTATACCAGTGTGTAGCCTACACTTTGATTTTGAAATATCTTTCTCATTAAAGGAAATCAGGGCTCCTTAGAGAAATGGCTGATCCTGGGGTTGGGACAAGGAAAGTATGAATCTGGAAAATTTTATGCCAGAAAGTAAAACACTCTCAAAAAATCATAAGGATTTGTCAACAGGACACGGGAGCTGGCATGGAGGAGCACTCACCCTCCAAATCTGGGAGGTGAATATCAATAATAACATGGTAATAGATTAAACCCCATTGACTAAAATAGGAGTCTATGAGTCTACATTGATTTAAATAAATGGTATTGAAGGGAATTTTCTTTACAGTAGAATGCTAATTAATAACTGTATTCAAGGTGGGGGGGGCAATGTTAAAATATGTAAACAGATAATAATTTAATTAATTTTTTTTTAAAAAATAACTGTATTCAAAATGATAGGCTTAGAGTCACCATTAGGTAGCCATCATAATACCAGCAGGGAAGAAAGATCAGTGGGTACTACTAGTAGTAAATGAAAGTTTCATAAGAAAACAAGGTAAGTAATACTCTCAAAGTATCTCTATACAAAATATTTTATTATTTTCAAAGGGAAAACACTAACTGTTCAGTGGAATAACGTGGTAGACACCAATTTAACTAAAGGATCAAAGTTATCATTACCAGTAATAGGACAGTGACAGCATGTGCCTCCTGCAATGATATATTGAGAACACAGCATCGCTTATGTGGTATTCCTGCCCAAAATAAAAAACCTGAATTTAAACATTAGTCAAACCTAAATTAAGGGACATTTCTCACAATATCTTACCAGCACTTTTCAGAAATATGAAGGTCACCAAAGATAAAGAAAGATCGGGGAACTTCCAGATTGAGGGAAACCACACACATAATGATTAAATGTAACATATAATACTGGCTTAAATCCTGGGCCAGATAAAATATTTCTTTTCCTTTCACTTAAAGAATGTTATTGGGACCATAGGAAAAATTTGAAAGGGGTCTGAAGATTAAATGGTATCAAAGTTAACCTCCTAATTTTGAAAGCTGTAATGTGGTTATATAGAATGTCCAACTCTTGAGGAAATTTTCACTGACGCATTTAAGAATAACAGGGCATATCATGCCTGTAACTGTTGGTTCAGGAAAAAAAATGTGTGTACATACACATACACACATTAGATATAGAGATAGATGCATACATACAAGAATTGAGAGGGGGGGGAAGGAGAATGATAAAACAAATATGGTTAAATATCAACAGATGAGAAACCTGGGTGAAGGATATACTGGAGTTCTTTGGGCTAGTTATACAACTTTTCTTTAAGTGTGAAATAAAACAGTTAATATATTTTTAAAATACTGAAAAGAAAACTGTGTGCTTGTAACCTGAGTCATACAAAAAGGCTTTTATTTTTTACCTGTCTACTCCTCCATCGAGTTCCAAAAAACAATTTAGTCTTATGAATATGTAAAAAATAAACAAGATAAAATAAATTGAAAACAAGTATGAAATCCATGTGATCTTAGCAAGAACCTTCTAAATTGCCAAATTCTATAAAATGTTCTTGAAAATTTGACAGGTTATGAGGAGAGATTTTTTTTCTTTTTGGAGGGGGGGAGAAACAATTCAAACTTCAATATAGTCATTAGTTCCTTTGTGTTCCTGATACCCTTTTATTCAAAACTTGATCACAATTAGTCACAGAGAATGTAATACTGGACTATGGAGGCAGAAAATCATTATTAATAAGAATAAAATAAATACACTTTAAAATTTGTACAGAATTTTATGCATGTGTACACACTTTATTAAATTTGCGTTTAAGATATACACAAGGTCATCATTTCACAAAATTTCCCATTATTTCAAAAGCAGTTATCATGAAATACAATGATTACATAAGTCAGCCAAGCAAAAAGAGCATCACCTATAGGATTTTCTTACCTTATCATCTCTTGTACTTATTTTCAAATAGAAGCTTGAAATATGATATAATATAGAATAGGAAGAGATCACTTTAATATATAATAATGATCACTTTTCAAATATTAAATTTTATATAAAAATAAAGGGGTACTCTTAACCAAGCTAATCTGAAGATTAGCATGTCTATCTTTTATTTATCTCAATCCCTGCAGAAAGTTAACTTTCTAGTTCATTTAAACAATAAAGTTAACCATCCTGCTTCCTACTTCTCATACCATTGGAACAATTTCATTTTCCTGCCCTAATTCTACCCCACCACTGAATTTGAAAAATAAATATCACATTCCAAAGGTTATTTCTTAAGAGTTCTAGATTAGAGCCAATAAATGGCCAAAAGTGTCCCTTTAAGGCAAGAAGACAGGAGAGTGAATGTGGATAAGTATCCTGTAAGATAAGCCATCGCTCAATATGATATAGGCAGAAACATCTGAACATGATTCTTTCACAAACAGAATAAATACACTGAATGCCACAGAAATAATGTTTCTTTAAAATGGCATACTAGAGAAAAATCTTCATAATATACACATTTATGTTAGGTTGAAGGATTATGGCCTTTGCACAGGTGAAAGCAATAAGAGGAATAAAACCATTAATGGTTATTATTACTATTTAAAATAAACAACGCATCTGATGCTATAACAGAACTACTTATTGATAGTTAAGTGATGCTCTCTTACAATTCAAAGAGAATATGTTTCCCTTCAAGCCACACAGTATTCTAGCCTGTGAGTACCTGCAAAGTGCAACATCTTCCTTCAAGATTCAAGGATCTTTGCCTTCAAAACACACAAGTGCAGTAGTTTTTGTTTCTTACATACATTCAAAAATGGAATACTATGATCCTAGCAGGGAAATTTGCATATTAAATACACACTATCCACCCACGATATATGAACATTAAAAGAAATCTACCATGACATACATTTTTACACAATTTTAAATAATAAATAACACAACAATAGACTACACTCGAGTTTTTAAAATAGCTCCATTCAGGATTTACCTTTTAAAATTTAACTTCTGGCATCACAGACTATCATTAACAATGTTCACAGCTCAAACAGCTTCTTAAAAAGCAGAATTCACAACAACATTGATTTTTTTCAGCTCATAGATATTAAATTGCCTTGCTCTAAGGCAGCATGAACAAGAACTGGATTCTGATTCTGGTGGCAACACAATGACCAAAACACAGTCGGCAGCACCACTCATCACATGACAAAACAAAAGAATCCAATGTCACAAAAGTAATCAGAAAAAAAGCAGCAATCAAAACAGTATGTGGCAGTCACATAAAGCTCCCTTTTCTACGTACCTTATGATATACATCTTTACAGCACAGCACTGTACCCCAAGGCATCTCAGGCCTCATAATACTACTCAAGGCAAGCTGTCAAGCTTCAGGTATGCTTTCTAGACAGTAGTTTGTGGGTAAATAACATTATTCATTCATTTGAAGGTGCTCCACACATCTGGTCAAGGCAGGAATTTCTTCTCCTTGATAACAACACCTAGAAATATTAATAATATTTTATATATTCCTTAGGGCAACAGAATTGGGGAGAAAAATAACAACTGTGGTAGCTGAGTCATAGGAACTTGTGTGGTGACTACTCCAGGCATCCTATAAGTTCATTTACACTCTCAGCACTAAAATTAGTCCTCACGTCATACACTCTAACATCAAAGAAGCGATATGGGTAGTAATGAAAGCAACTATGTGTTTTTTTCTGTTCTGTGAGAAATGACAAGTAAGCAGCTCCAACAGGAAAAGGAAACAAAACAATGTGCTTTAAACTGATGCAGAACAATAAAAAAATGATATAATGAAAAGCAACTCATCTATTGTGAAATATATTTGAAACTATGTAGCCAACAGAGGACAAAAAATTTGTCAAGCAAAAGAGAATTTCTGATCTAATCTAGGTGTCATATAACTGCTGGGAAAAGGAACCATTATAAAAATACCTATCAGTAAAAAAAAAAAAAAAAAAACAACAACAACCAAAAAACAAAAACATATCAGGGCTTTCCTTAAACATATTTGAGATTTAGTCCCTAGATCCAAAATGTGATCAGGAGAGAGAGAGAGAGAGAGAGAGAGAGAGAGAGAGAGAGAGAGAGAGAGTCAGTATTCTCATAAAATTGAACTTTAGAGAAGAGAGATGCCAAGAAAAGAATGGTGTCAAAATAGTTTAAATATGTAATACTTTAATCCTCATTATGGATCAAAGTTCTCTGTGTTCCTCTCACTGAATGATTTATGTAGGAAACAGCAGCTAAAACACTGAATCAGAAATGGGTAAATCACTTGGGTGAGAAATCATCCAACAAGATGAATGGAGGGCATGAATTGGAACATGCCACTGGAGACTCTGCAGTCATGCTGCCTATAGCCAGTGAATCTGCTGCTACTGCTCCTACTCTGCCATCCAAAGTATCTGAACTAAAGACAAAGCAAAAAGAATTATAAGCAGATGAATTTATCAGGTTAAAAGTAAACATAGCATGCAAAAACATAGTTTCAAGAACTCATGAATTAGTACAGCATTTGTAAATAATAAAAAGCAAAAAAAAGCAATAGCAAATGAACTACATCATTCAGATACTTGTGAAAGTAAGATACTCGAGGTTCCCTATCATTTTAGTGCTCTCCAGTAGGCGCCAGAATGTCAATAAGCCTTCCTCTTGACAAGTCACAATTTTAGTGAGGTTGTTCCCTTACCTTCAGCTAAAGAGATTTCTATCTTATATTTATCTTCTTACCTTCCCATCAGTCTCACAGTAGAAGGAAATGGTTACTCATTGAAGTACCTACCCTGAGCTGTGTGAAGTATTCTATCAAACAGTGCTACATGGTCCTTCTACTCCAGAACCAAGCCTTTCATCTGCACTACATTTTACCACTTCCCCACTCCCAAAAGGACTTTGATTCAAGCACATTTTTTCTAATTTTCCCCATTATTTGCCTTTCATATTCTTCTCATTTTATGAATTTCCTATACTGTTTCCTCTCTTCTTGCTTTCAAAACCCAAAGGTCTCTCTACCATCTCTAAAATACTCCTTTCTTTGACCCCTTCTATTACTATCCAGTTAAGCTTCTAAAAGGAATGCCCTCTATAGCCCAGGTGGTGTGGCTCAGTGATTGAGCACTGACCTTTGAACCAGGAGGTCACGGTTGAATTCCAGCCGGGGTATGGGGCATATACCCCAGTTGTTGGCTTGATCCCCAGTGTGGAGCATGCACGAGGCAGCCAATCTCTCTAATTATTGATGTTTCTCTCTCTCTCTCCCTCTCCCTTCCTCTCAGAGATCAATATTTTTTTTAAATGAAAGGAATGCTCTATATTCACAGACCCAATACCTTCACAGTCCATTTCTCTCTTTAATCTTGACAACTGGCTTCTGCTCCTACCCTCCCACTAAAACTCCTTATCTGGGGCATTAAGAGCCTCTATAGCCCAGCACAGGGATACTTTACCCAATCAGCCCAAACCCTCATGCCTCCCAACAATCAGTCTGGCCTTCCTCATAAATCTGCCTTCATATTTCAGCATTCACAATTAAGAGCCTTCACCACTTGCCATCAGGCTGCCTTTCCAGCTTTGATTCCCATCAATCAAAAATATAAGCTCTATGCTCTATATTTAGCTCAAATTCACTAATTCATTCATTTATTTTTAAACAATTTTTAAAATATGTATTTTATTGATTTTTCACAGAGAGGAAGGGAGAGGGATAGATAGCTAGAAACATCGATGAGAGAGAATCATCAACCAGCTGCCTTCTGGACACCCCCTACTGGGGATGTGCCCGCAACCAAGGTACATGCCCTTGACCGGAATCAAACCCGGGACCCTTGAGTCCGCAGGCCAACGCTCTATCCACTGAGCCAAACCGGTTTCGGCTCACTAATTCATTTATTCTAATATTACTGAGTTCCTGCCAAGTTCAGGAATTATGCTAGATATTAGAAAACAATGGTGCATAAGACAAACATTGTTCCTGCCCTCATCAAATTTAAAGAACAGTGCAGAATACAGACATTGAAATAATTATGCTAATAAACATATAATTATAATCTGCGATCAAAGTAATAAAGGAAAGATACAAGGGGCTATGAGAGTATATAACATGGGAAACCTGATCTAATTTAAAGAAACAGGAAGGAACAAGGCTCCCTAAAAGTGATATTTGGGCTGTCATCTGAAAGATGAGTAGGCATGAATGAGGTAAGGTTTGGGAGGAAGCAAGGATAGTTCTAGAAGCCAAAAGCAGGCTAGTGTGGCTGTCATATAGACAGCAAGAAGAACACGAGAAACAAAGCTGGAGAGGTAGTCAGGCAGTTTTAGCTATTATACGGAAATACTTTTTATTTTTGAAAAAGAAAGCATAGAATTGGAGAAGGAATTATGAATCAGAAAATAAAGGTTCTAATTTAAATCTGGTCACTAGCTCCTTTGAAAAAGCCTATCCTGATCTAGTGTGTTCTAAGGCTAAAGATTATGAGCCTTTAATATTATAATTTTTATGAATTTCTAAGTTAACATATTTCCAGTAGTAAGTAATCTGTGGTATATTTGGAAGTTTCTGGGCCCTATATCACTTCCAATGAAATATAACTTCCCACCCACGCTGCTTCTCTACTCTTCTATTTTATCTTCAAAATGTAATTTCTTTCTATTGCCACTGGATTTTTTTAGGTGGAGACAGAATATAAACAGGCTTCAGAATAGTAAAAATTAAAATGGAAATGGTATATTCCATAGTACTCCTACTCTATGCTCACTGCTGTCAAATGCATCATTAATAATACCACTTTTAAGAAAGAAGTTTGGATAATTTAGCTGGCTCAGATATTTTTTCAACCAACAGGCAAAACAGGTCTAAAATATGAATTATTCAAACTACTGAAAGAAAGTTGCACAGATAATCTAAGACATTGGAAAATCAAAACACCTTTATATTTGCTTTGGAATATATGTGATATTTTCCTCCTGCAGGATTTGGCCTAGACTAATATTAAAATAAATTTATTTTCCTAAAGTACATATTGGCTGGGCAGCTGACGGACATGCTCTGTGGTAGTTGGAAGGAATAAACAGGCTTGGATTAAAATTTGGCCACCAAGCAAATAATCTGAATATAAATAAAGACTTTCTTATTCCAACCACCAGACTTATGGTGAGCCCTAGGTTAAAAGATTCCATTTGTAACAAGACCTGCTGCTTAGGTGAATCTTTTATTCATTCAAAACACGGAAGATGTGGGTGATGAACACACAGTGCAATATACAGAAGATGAGTTATAGAATTGTACACTTGAAACCTATAAAATTATATTAACCAATGTCACTCCAATAAATTTAATGTAAAAACCACAGAACATGCAGAGAAATCTGTCATCTAACACTATTGATTACCTTAAGAGAAATAAGCTAATGGGAAATTTACCAAGAAAAAAAGAAATCTGAACATTTCATATCTTTTCAAGAATTTTTTCTCTATTATTAAATATAAACATATGTAAATTTTTGATTAACAGAAAAACAGCATACTTATATTTAGTCACCAAAGCAATTCAGATTCAGAATTTAATAAACCATTAACCATATATTTTCACCAACTTAAAAATCTACTTTTTGTTCTAGCCAGAACCGGTTTGGCTCAATGGATAGAGCGTCGGCTTGGGGACTGAAAGGTCCCGGGTTCGATTCCGGTCAAGGACATGTACCTTGGTTGCGGGCATATCCCCAGTGGGGGGTGTGCAAGAGGCAGCTGATCGATGATTCTCATCGATGTTTCTAACTCTGTATCTCTCTTCCTTCTTCTCTGTACAAAATCAATAAAATATATTAAAATAAATGAATAAATAAATAAATATTAAAAATATATAAATAGATCTGGTATAACTGTATTGATATCGGACAAGGTAGGCTTTCATTAAAAAAATCTACTTTCTGTTCTAATTAATCTGGCACTACTACACATAGTCAGGAAGCACAGACTACAAGTCACAAATTACTCATTGTCAGTATATCTGCATAAAGCAAGATTTATGTTATATTTTAATCTATAGATTAGGAAATAAAAGTGATTTTCACAGTATCTGCTATTAAACTTCTACCAGGGCTTCCAAAAGCAAAAAAGTATGGTCCAATTTGAGTTTTTCTCTTCTTTCTTTCCTAGCTTAAAGTCTGATGGAGCCAGACAATAGCAGGAAAGCAAAGGATCTATATAATTCAAACTGAACATAGGAGTACATGAATCAAAAGAGAACTAATTCAGCCCTAGCCAGTTTGGCTCAGTGGACAGAGCGTGGGCCTACAGACTGAAAGGTTCTGGGTTCAATTCCAGTCAAGGGCATGCACCTCGGTTTGCAGGCTCCTCCCCAGTCTGGGCCCTGGTTGGTGCTCTTGCAAGAGGCAACCAATCGATGTGTTTCTCTCATATTGATATTTCTCTCTGTCTTTCCCTCTCTCTTCCGCTCTCTATAAAAATCAATGGAAAA